AAAAAAAAAAAAAAAAAAAAAAAAAAAACCTAAAATAAAAATTATGAAAACCTGAATACATGACAGACTTAAGTGAACAATAACATATCAATACTGGTATAGTCATTTGTAAGATGTATGAAGGGAACTAGATGGGGGAAGGGAGCTCTTTATACTACATGCTCATTTTCTTCTGTAAATCTAGAGGCTCTTTTTAAAAATAAAAGCTATTATAAAATTAACCACCTGCTGGGGAATGATAACCAGCATTTGGTGGTACCTCGGTGTGTGGAAAGATTTTTCAAAGGCAAATCTTCTTAGCATTACCAGAGGAACATCTGCACTCAATTTTGATGACAGGAAACAGTAGCTGTGAATCCCAATTAAGTAAAATGTTATGATTTTGTTTTCTTTGGTTTTTTTGAGACAGGGTCTCACTATGTAGTTGAGACTGACCTGGAACTCACTCTGTAGCCCAGGCTGGTTTTGAACTCACAGCGATCCTCCTGCCTCAGCCTCCCAGTGCTGGGATTACATGCATGCGCCACCACACCCGGCTCATTATCTATACTTTTAAAAACTGTTCTTTCAAATTTTTATTCTACTATGTTTACAGTACATAATGGTTACATTCATCAGGGGAAGTTGGTATGTGTAGTAAGGCATCATCATTCTTTTATGGCCTCTTCCCCTCTCTCCACCATTATCATTATATTTTGAATTTTTCAAATAAAACTGATAAGACTTTGGTTGGGGATTTAGCTCAGTGGTGCCACACGTGCCTCACAAGTGCAAGGTCCTAAATTCAATCCCTAGTACCTCCCCCAAGATAAAACTGTTATGTCATTTTATAAAAAATACTTATATAACATCTTCAGTTTTGCCCACTGGGTGGCAAAGCCTAAAATACTTCCATCTGCCTCTTTACAAAAATGTTTGCCAGGGCCAGGGATTTAGCTCAGTGGTTCCACCACTTGCCTTGCAAGTGCATGGACCCAAGTTTGATCCCCAGTACCAAAAACAAAACAAAACAAAAACACCCCAAAATGTCTGGCAACACTTGGTATAATTGAAACAAAACTGGCCATGGTGGGTAACTCTAGAAGGTGGGTAAAAATAGAACTCAAAAGACATACTTTGTTCCTAACTTAGGGTTTGATTTGGGCTTTATTATCTACACAGACAGGCAGGCAGGCAGGCGGGCAGGCAGACAGAGATGCAGATGTAGTTCCTTTTTCTATTCCTCCTCCTCCTGCTGCCCCTACTCTTCCTTCTCCTTCTCTGTTGATGCTAGGGATTGAAGCCAGGGCCTCACACATTCTAGGCAAGTGCTCAATCACTG